GTGTTGGTAGGTATGCTGTTAGCCAACACCCTTCAAGCAGAAAACTGGACATTCTTCACTGTTATAGATACACAAGACATATTCACAGCTCACTTACTGAATGAGTCATTTGTTATCTGCAAAGACTGAACACCAAATGAAAGACGATGAGCTGCATACCAAAGCTGACAGTTAAAAAAAACAGAGTAAGACACATTTAGCAATGCTTTACTTCCATGTGTACAGATGGTGTACAACTATTCTTCTTCTTACTTTCAATAATCAGTAAAATTGGTTAAAACCTCTGACATGGTAAATACATGCCATCCAAAGAAAGACACTCAGAGAAATCGTATCTAAATAATGTATTAGAAACTCACCTTTTTGATGAKTGTGACAGGAACAAGACAAGTAGAATTATCTGAATGTTAATGAAGGACAAAGATTAAAGATTTAGTAAGACAGTACTCATTTTTAACCATTTAACGGACAACGCTCAGAGGAATGAGAGCGATGTCCTATTTAAAATGACAAAAATCACCTAAATCAGTACATGTTTTGATTTTAAAAATAAACATTGAAAACAGGTYTTAATTTGAATTAAAATGGCAGTTATTTGTCCATACTAATATTATACAAATGCATGGCACCATAAAAGATCCTTTGAAGATATGATCCTTTGCCTCCATATTAGTCCACGCTCGCAGCTCAACCAGGATCATGCGTGCTGGACAAAGTACTCTTCCAACTTGTTTCCCGCTTATTATAGACCCATTACAGCACTTTGGAATGCAGCTCAATTTGGGGACGAAATAGTAGGTTCCAATTCTCATGAGATTGGAATTCTTTTGTTTTGTCCCCCAGATTGAGCTGCTGACATCACACACAAGGGAAATCTACATAAATGGGTCCTAGAATTATGCTCATGCTTTATCAATGTATAAAAATTTAGCAATGTTACAGCAATACACACCATTATTGGTGCAAACCACAAACGAAAATCCTGCATGAGGAACAAGTCATCCTCTCACAACTTCAACACTCTCTTTTTCTACTTGCTGCACTTGTGACTCTGTGAGTCTCAGAGAGGTTGACTTGGAGCAAGTCTATCAAAAATACTGAGTATTCACTTTGCTGTACCTCTATTGTCGTCCATGGATGTGGGTGTTGTGATACTAGCAAATGCCTCAGCAGCATGTTGGAGGTAAGCACTACTTAACCTACAGAACATACAGATATCAATAACTAAGTTTTAGGTGCAGTTTGAGGCTGAATTCTTGTTTGGGGTGGTCCTCACAGGGTGATGCTATTGCTGGGTTTCAATCAGCTGGAGTACATTGGGTGAATTCTTTTTTTGGGGTGGACCTTACAGGGTTAAAGGTAGGTAAAAAGTAAGCATGCACATATTGTGCTATTGCTGGGATTCAATCAGCTGAATCTCTATATCTGCCCTAGGTGGTGGTTAAACACTCATCATCATAATTATGCTGTCAGACAGAATTCTATTACTGATTTTCAATCAGCTGATTAAAGTCTTTGAATCTAATTGTCTGCTTCTACTTGGGTCAAACACTGACCACCATGTGCTGTAAACCAGAAAGAATTCTTAGCCTATTGAAAAATTGGGTTTTAGCTGTTGAACATTCTGCACGATTCATGACAATGTCAAGCGAAACCAGCAATAACAAAGATTTTGCATTTCAGAAGAAAGTGGCAATTATGTGACAATGAGAGAAAACCAATTGGTTTCCTTAGTGCAATATTTACTCCCAAAAATAAAAATCAATTTCCAAGCTATAAAACATATCAATCAAATTACCTAACAGTGAATTCCATCCATTTGAAAGAAGTAAAGGGTAAGGMATTGAATATTGACTCAACAAATGAACAAATCTAGGAAACAAAATACAATAAGTCTTTTTACTGCAGCAGCACCTTTTCCTTAGATATTCTAAGGCCCTGGCTAAACAAGGACACATGTTTTCTTAAATGTTTCCAAAGGTGGCAAAACTGTCAGGGAAAATCAGGAAACATGTTTACTCAATATCGGTTAGCGCATGCTTACTTTCAAGATAGAGCTAGCGTTGCTAAATAATGAACTTTTAGAATGTCAACTTTCGTGGCTAAACAAGGAAACAKTGGGAAACATTATTTCCATGCGTCTTGGAAGCATGAAATGTTTCTGTCGCACAGCAGAAACATTTTTACATCTTGGAAGCAAAATTTCTTGCACGTAGCAATGTTTCGCATGTGGCTAAACTTGAAATCATCAGGGAACATGTGCTCGGGAAACATGTTTCTGCAAACTTTTTTCCTCGTTTAACCAGGGCCTAAGACCATGAATGCTGCATTGGCACACTTGGGTAGTATTGTATTCTTGATATGGTATTTTTTGGTTCCAGAAAATATCCATACCCAACCATGGAGGAAATTGGAAATTCTCAGGGGGTGGGGGGTCAGTAGGAAAAACAAAATTACAACATTTGCACAGAAGAAAATTGGTAATTCCAGAGAGGTGGGGGTCAGAGTAAGAACAAAATTACAAGGTTTGTAATGGAAGAAAACTTTAAATTTCAGAGGGGGGGGACCTTTTATCAAATTTCCTCCAAGGTGGGTATGGAAATTTTCTGGAACTACACATTTATACAAGTCTTATCAAGTGAAATTTTTCAGTTATAAGGTTTGTAGTCATATAACTAGGCTACTCACATGATTTTTATTCTGATCATTGCTGAATGATTCCCCATTGAGCAGTAATGTTATTGGTGTCATCTCTTGTTCCTGAGAGCTGAGGTGACACAGAAATGCAGCTAGACCCTGAATGTGCTGCACTGTAAGACAAAGGTCTGCACCCTGTAAATAATAACCATACTAAAGCATTAGTTCTATAATTAATCCCTCTACTTAGTAGTTCCAGACAATTTCTTAACCCCTTGATGGAGGGCAATTTAAGATTATGAGGGGAGAAAAGGGTCTGAAGAGGTGGTTATGGAGGGGGATTGGAATTTCCAAGAGGTGGAGGTAGAAAGATATATTGTGTAGTTCCAGAAAATATCCATACCTCCCTCATCCCCCATGGAGGGGGATTGGAATTTCCAAGGGGTGGGGAGGGTCTGAGGAGGGTATATTGTGTAGTACCAGAAAATATCCATACCTCCCCATGGAGGGGGATTGGAATTTCCATGGGGTGGGGAGGGTCTGAGGAGGGTATATCGTGTAGTACCAGAAAATATCCATACCTCCCCATGGAGGGGGATTGCGAAATCCAAGGGGCGGGGAGGGTCTGAGGAAGATATATTGTTTAGTACCAGAAAATATCCATACCTCCCCTATTGGAGGGGGATTGGAATTTCCAAGGGGTGGGGAGGGTCTGAGGAGGGCATCTAGTGTGTAGTTATCCATACCCCAAGAAAAATGACTTTAATAGGCCCTTTGCAGTTAACTGTCATGTGTCCGTACTGGTGAGCAAATTTTATTTATTTATTTTAAATTTGTGATTCTTTTTAGCTACTTGTAAGGAACTGAATGGAATGATGTGTAACCAGTGTGTCACGAAATGCAGTTTTATTATGATCTTTTGAAACAGGTTGTAGAAATTTTGTTTGCTCACCAGTATATTTCACCCATGGGAATCAAGATGTTCATTCATTTGCTGTCAGTGAATTAATCATCACGTGATTAATGAGCTGCAAAGGGCCTTTTTACAAGAGTGTAGACAACTGCTCCCCATGTTGGATTCTAGTTGACTGAACATAATGGAATTTTCTTAAGGAGGGTTAACACATCCCAACTATGGAATTATGGATATCTTCTTTCCATCAAATTTCTCTATCACATTAGATTTTAAGCATACCTACCTTACRACACAGAAGATCCCATAACCTGAAGTACAATGCCAGGTGAATTGCTGGTATTGAAGTTACCATGGCAACAAAATTTACTGCCCACTTGAACCTGTAGAAAAGTTAGAAAAAATAAATGCACTGCATCAAAACATTAGAATTCAAGATACTACAGTGTGCACCATAGTTTCCATAGTTACAAGGTCTACAGCCTCCTTAAGACCAAAAGACATCAGAATGTACAAGTAATCAAGACATTAAAAAACCAGATTACAACAAGAATAAAACTCTCACCTTGATTTAGGTGAACAGTTCAAAGTTCTTACTGCCATACATGTTCGGCAAAAAGCATTCAATAATGCATCACCAATCTGAGAAGAAGTAGCATGAATATGGAAGTTTAAGGAGTTCAAATAAGTAGAATAACCAATGTAACAGTCAATTGACATTTCAACCCCTACCCCCCTCCCCTCCAACCATACCTGGGTAGCTTTAGGATCTACACCAGGTGAGCAAACATCAAGGATCACTTGGGAGGGGTCAGGCAACATGTCACTGTTCTTGATCATGACCACTGTATCAATCAATTGACATTTTTAACCCTACCCCCACCCCCTCAAACCATACCTGGGTAGCTTTAGGATCTAAACCAGGKGAGCAAACATCAAGGATCACTTGGGAGGGGTCAKKCAACATGTCACTGTTCTTGATCATGAATTTAATGTGTGTTGTTAGCAGAGACAGCCTGGAKGACGTGCCTGAAAATAGACAACCAAAACACTGATTGAAAAACGTGTGTAATGACAATAAATGTTTTTGTAACTTTATGAGATCATTTCGAGAGTGATTGACTAGAATGTGTAGAATTAGAATAAATATTTCAGTACTGAAAAATTGATTTTTACGAAGAAAAAATGTTGGAGATTCCTGAAAATCTTAAAATCACACAAGAGTCAACACAATTATAGCTCTATTCAATCCTTTATGTGACAAGCATGTGTAAGAAAAAAATTGCCAAGCTTTTTAGGATTTACTTGGTTGCAGTCATCCCACCCAAAGACATCCTTTGTTCCTTCTCCAGTGAAGTGTGAATCTATATTGCGAATGAATATATATGATTTCATAGTTCTTCTGGCTTTACTTACTGGATTTGGTACTAGATTTATCACCATCCTGTAGTGAATGGAGTACATCTAATGTAAAGCTTTTGAGACTCTTGTTCAGTCTATCAATGTCACTTAGCAGGCTGTCATCTTCTGAGGAACTCTCTGTTAAATTGACAATA